AGTTAGGGGTAGTTGTTAGCCACCATGTGGGTGCTGGGAACTAAACCAACTGGGGTCCTCTGCAAGAGCAGCCAGTGCTGCTCTCCGGCCTCCAATGTTGATTCACAAAGACTTACATAGCACTTCCTTTGAGCTAGGCGAGCACTATTCCAAGCTCTTGGGGGGTGGCTAGGTTTGCTGAGCCCACTCTACACCTGGAGGAAAGCAGAGAGATCCAGGTATCCCAGGGCCCTTGCTGAGCTCAGTCTTAGTACAAACGTTTGCAAATCTTGGGCTGGGGACAGGGCTCAGTGGGGAGAGTGTTTGCTGCACGAGCATGAGTTTGATCCTCAGAACCCACATTAGAAAGCCAGGTCTGTGATGCATGCTTATAATCCCAGTTCTGGGGAGGCAGGGGCAGGAGGATCCCTGGAGCTTTCTGACCTGTCCGCCTAGCTGAATTGCCCAGCACCAGAAGACTGGTCTCAACAAACAAGGTGGATGGCAGGTGAGGACAACATCAGTGAGAGGAAGCATGGACCGCAACTGAAATCATCTCTCCTAAGTATGTGTGCCTTCCCTCACAATCTGTTTTCAAAATGTAAGACAAATTATATTTCTATAGTCACTGCATTCTCACCCTAAAGTTTAGTGATAATTTCTGAAATTATTGATATGAAGATAAAGGTAGAATTTAGAAGTAGAATGTTGGCGTTGGAGAGATGGCTCAGTGGTTAAGAGCAGTGACTACTCTTGCAGAGGATACGGGTTCGATTCCTAGCACCCACATGACAGCTATGAAATGTCCTTAACATCAGTTCCAGGAGAATCCGAAGCCCTCCTCTGACCTCGGTGGCATTGGGGTGCACTCACATACATGCAGGCAATACACTCATACACATAAAATGAAAATAAAAATAAATTTAAAAAATTAAATAAAAAAATTAAAAAAAAAAGTAGAATGTCAACAGATGGACATCAATGCTCATACAATTTGCAAAGGAAGGCAGTCCATCAAGGCTGGGTAAACCTAGGCAGACGGGATCCTCCACACCATGGGAAAACATGAAGGGACTATCACACAGACATAAAGAAGATAGACAGGCATCCAAGAATAGAACCGAAAGCTTTGGTAGCTTGATAGGTACATAGACTTCAACTTCTGGTATGGAAGTGATCAAACTTCCCTGAAAGGGCCACAGATATGTTTCCAGAGCCTCATTAATGCCCCATCCAGAACTGGAGTCTATTTCTCCTGCCACTGAATCAGGCAGGCTTTTGTCACCCTCAAAGATGGGATGTGGCAGTTTCCTGTATTTCTGGGGTGGGCTGAGGACAAATCAACCCTACTGCTTTTTTCTCCTCACTCTCCCTGGGAACCAGCCACCATGTTGTAGGAAGCTGGAGCCTTAGAGGTGGGCCACATGGAAGGGCTCTGGCCTACAGCTCCACTAAGGTGTGTGTGCATGGCCTGCAGGTGACCAGGGCCTTTAAGCCTGCATGGCTGCTGTCTAGTAGAGCAGGAGTGAACTGTCTCACAGAACTTTAGCCACTTTGTAGACTCCTGAGCAAAGCCAGTCTGAGGCCTGGAGGGGGTGTGCCACATAGCCAAAGGTACCAGGCCAGACCAGACCGCACCTAGTGTGAGGACAGGTTTCACCTCCAGTAGAATGCTAGATTTACAATTATTTTTGTGTGTGTCTGAAGGCTGGAGGTCAACCTCAGGTGTACTTGTCTGGCTAGCTGAATGGAGCTGGTAATGCACCAGAATAAGGTGACTTACAAGTTCTTTTCTTGCACAGGGAGAACACTGGGGTGAAGCTGTCCCAGGAAGCCACTCTATGATAACGTCTATCTATCTATCTATCTATCTATCTATCTATCTATCTATCTATCTATCATCTATCTATCTATCTATCTATCTATCTATCTATCTATCATCTATCTATCTATCATCTATCTATATCGATTTATCAATCTATCACCTATCTATCTATCTTTATCTATCATCTATCTATCTATCTATCTATCTATCATCTATCTATCTTCTCTCTAATATATCATCTATCTATCATCTATCTATCTATCATCTATCTTTTATCTATCTATCCATCTACCCACCATATTCTGATGTATTCCATTAGATACCAGAATCTTTGTAGCACTAGAATAGGAGCCTGCCTTGACCTCCTGTTTTTCAAGATGCTAAGGGACCCAAAGGATTGATATAGTAGAAGTATTTCCTCCAGGTATGACATGACCCTGACTATCAGGAAGGAGAGCCTCTGTGGTGACTTTGGTCCCCAGTCATGGAAGCAGAAGAGATATGGCTGACAGCCAGGTCTGCAGTATGAAGCTGTTAAAATTCCCTGGTAGAATGCAGGCAGGGGAAGTTCATGGAGACTCTTATTTGAGATTCTAGTCACCACTTCCTCTTGGCCCAGCTACACATGGTCTTAGACTAGGATACATGAGTGGTAGATTAGGCAAGTGTTGGGTCTATTCAATGATGCAGCCGCCTCTGAGTCACTCCTGCTCCTGTAAGTAAGTCCACCCTCATGCTCTGTAAGTAACCCCCAATTCATTATTTCTCCAAGACGAAACTTAGATGGGATGTCTCTTTTGATCTGTTAGTGCCCAGCCTGGGATGAATAGATATCTGAAAAAATACCTCCCAGGGAAAAGTTACACAACAAAGATTATTAAAACTTTCCTTTTCCCAAGAGACAGTTATACACAACAGATCCTAGATCAGCTCCCCACACATATTGTGAGCCTTCGCTCAGATGTTGCTGTCCTTTACACCAGAGTTTACTCACTCTATGGGTCATGAGCAATGTCAGTAGGCTGAGCAGCAGATGCCAAGGTGACGGTGAGCTCTCATGAGTCTAAGAAAGAAAAGGGGAAAGTCACTGGTCGGCAGCTACTCTAAGTCACACTGGTGGGGACCTCCAGAGACAGGAGAGTAGTTTGCTGTCCTATAAACATACATTTCTTAATGTGTTACTTTTCTTGTGGATAGGAACAAATACCTGACAGGAAACAGCTTAAGGGAGGGATAATTTATTTGGGGTCATAGTTGGGGGAGTACAGTCTATCAAGGTGGGGAAGGCATGGCAGAGTCGATGGCACTGACAGCCTGTGGCTGGGTCTTCTCACAGCTTAGTGGACCAGGAAGCAGAGAGAGATGAATGTTCATGCTCAGCTCCGCTTGTTTCTCCTGTCCCCATTCTTCAGTCTGGCATCCCAGCCCTGGGATGGTGTCACCCACATTCAAGATGGCTCTTCTCCCCTCAGTTAACCATCTCTAGAAACACTCTCACAGACATGCCCAAAGGTATGCTCTAGGCATTTCCTAATCCAGTCACATTGACAATTAAATTATCCATTATCCTTAATTGTAAAATATTTTTATAAATGTCTAGAAGGGCTGAAAATGTAGTTCTGCTGGTAGAGTCCTTGGCTGGCATGCTTGAAGACCCAGGTTCAATTGCCAGCAATTGTGGTGTGGGACGCTTATAATGAGGTAGGACGATCAGAAATTCAAAGTTATATTTGCCTACATGGTGAGCTTGAGATGGGCCTGAGCTGCTTGAGACCCTGTTTCCAACGAAATAACTGACTAGATAAACAAATAATAACAAATAAGTGAAAACTATAGAATGTTATTTAAATATCTAGAAATATTAAGTAAAAAAAATTACAAAGTTCATAAACAAGTCTAGTCTACTTTGCATTGATTGAGCTACTCTGCTTGTGACCTTCAAGGCCATGAACAATTTGAAAGCTTTATTATCTGGAAAATTCTAGCAAAATGATTTAAGTTTCCAGTGTATCTGTGTTCTAATCTGTCACCAGTATGTAATCGGAGCCCTGCCTGCTGAGTCTGGACTCTGCAAGGATGATGCCATAGCTGAGTTAGGCCCCACCCATATGAGGTATGGATGCCACTGTTTCTCTGCACACTTGTGGACTAGAGACCTGGCCCTCAGCCTGCTTAGATAAGAAGGCTCTTCAGTCAAAGCCTTCCACTTCATAGTAGAGATGCCCAAGGACAGTGAGGTCAGAAACTGGGATGCACGGGAGCAGAACAGCAGCTCTGAAGGAACATCTGAACAGTCCCATGCTCTGGTTGGCCGTCCACCTACCAAGCCCCTAGATTCAGCTCCAGAGTTGAGTCAGAAGTCAATCCTCCTCCACTGTCTCCTGCAACACCTGCAGGCTCTACCATCTGCTAGTTACATCATGGGTCCTCACAAACTGATGTCAGGCAGCTGCAGCCTGCTTTTCCTGGGTGTTTGTCTGAGCTGGGTGAGATGGGCTGGCTGATAGAAGGAGCAGCCATCTGGCTCCAGGAACCTCTGGAAATCCCCAAAGCTCTTGGGACATGGGGACTCTGTTGTTTTCCCTCCTATTTGTTTTCTTTTCACCTAAGAGCACTCCAGTTAATTAGACCCCAATTAAGCCACAATGAATATCTAGATCTTATTCACTCCTGACTCAGGAACAAAGTCACAGGTGGCCCTGGATCCTGATCTCAAATTGCAGGAGGCAGGAAGCAGCTTCTGCATGGCGTTCTGCCTGGTGGTCAACCCAACTTGGGTTTTCAGAAGCTCATGGGGACAGCACTGCTTTCTTTCTGTGCCCAACTATCTTTAAGAAAATTTAGACAATTTGTATTGGTAATTCTACCTGTAAACAGTTGATGTAAGTAGAAGAGAAGCTCTCTCAGTTGGAGAGGCAGGGTCTCCTGCATCAGCCTTGCTGGGACCTGGTTGGCTTTCGAGGAGGGACCAGACCTACCTCATGTAATTGTAATTCTACCTGTAAACAGTTGATGTAAGTAGAAGAGAAGCTCTCTCAGTCGGAGAGGCAGGGTCTCCTGCATCAGCCGTGCTGGGACCTGGTTGGCTTTCGAGGAGGGACCAGACCTACCTCATGTAATTCACACACTTCCATCTGTCTGCCCAGAAACCTCAGAGGTCTCTTCTTCCCCTGGATGGTCACAGTAGTGGCTGTTGTGTTTGTGACCTTCTATATGAGCTACCCTGGAGACTTGGGGAGAAGGCTCAGTCTGTAAAGTGTCCGCTGAGCAATCATGAGACCTGAGTTCAATCCCCAGCACCGTGGAATAACTGGCACTGTGGTGCTCGGTGGTATCCCAGTGGTGGAAAGGCAGAGACAGGCAGATCCCTGCAGTTCAATGGCCAGTTCAGTGCAGTTCAATGGCCCAGCTGAAATAGTGAGCTCCAGGGTCCATGAGAGACCATATCTAAGAAACAGAGAGCAACTGATGAAGACATTGATGCTAACCTCTGGCCTCCATCCATGCACATGCACCCCTGCACTGCACATACATACACCCACATGAACATGTACACATCACACACATGTCCTTTAATAAGTACAGATGAGTATTTAAGATATTTACTTAAATTTTGTGTATTTACCATAGAAATATATTTGTTATATTAAGCAATAATAGAAATTTTAAGCCAGGAAAGAAATATGCTGTTTGATGTTAAATGTGTTTACCATATAAACAAATAGGCCTGTGTGCTTGCATCTTATGACCAGTTGCTCTTCCCTGATCCCAGGAATTCAGATGAAGAGATATGAGGGTGGGCCACATCACAGAATCCTGAGAACTGATCTGAGGGTGTCCCTGGACTCTTTGCTCCAGCCTACCTCAGGTGATCCTTCTAATGAGAGTGTTTTTGCTTTCATTTACACAGCATAAGAAAACGCAGTCCTTACAAGGAGTAGATACAGATGCTTCAATTTTCTCAGAGAAAATGACATTCTGAAAGCATGAAATATCCTGATTTCCCAAATCCTAATGCCTTACTAGATAGATGGGAACCTGCCTCCTATGCAAATGCAGAGGAAAGGTGGGTAAAATCACTCTGAAACAAAATCATAAATGAACAAGCCTCACTTAAAAATGGCAGAGGGACTCCTGGCCCTGGCAGGCACTTGTTTATGAACCTGCTGGGGCAGAAGGCTGCCTCCCTCCCGCTGTGCCCCAGGCTCACGTAATCTGGACCCCGGCAGCCTCTCCAGACAATTGTGGCTGCAACTTTACACCTCCCCCAAAGCGAGGTAGAAAATTTGGCCCACCCCGCGGACACACCGCTAATTAAGCCTGAGCTGGGAGCCCGCGAGCTGAGAACAATGGTGTCGACACCAGCCTCCGGGGATGGAGTTTCAAATCACGGTCGGCAGCAGTCCGCATCTGGGCTCTTAAAGGGGAAGGAGCCCTCAAACATCTCTGAAGGCGCCCTCAGGCCTGGTGGCTGCTCTCGCCTGGGCTCCCGGTCTCGGAGCCTTGCCTTCTGGCTTCTGGAGCGCTTGTCTGTATGATTTAGAAGTCGTGGTTATCAAGCAACCTGTGCGGGCAAAGGTTGAAGTTAAAGACAATCCCTCTTTCAGCTCCTAAGCAGAGGGAGGGACTGGGTCCCCAGGCTGAGCTGAACACAGTCGGCACCATCTCAGGCTGTCCCGGGCTCCCCCTGGGCTTCCAAGCTATTACTGCAGGAATCTGGATTTACTTCTAACACTCTGCTTAGGGTGCCTCTTTCCCTCTGTGCAAAAATCACTGGGCAGCAGGGCCTGACCCTAGCGCTCAAGAAACAAACATTTGCCAGACAAGATGGGGAAAGAGGTGGGGTATTCTCAGAGGGCGTTTAAGTGTGAGAGGTTTGTGAGGACAGAGAAGCAAATCTTGCCCTCCCTCCAGGATGAAGTTGGCAGCAATTCAAACAGCTCAGATTTCCTACAGAAAAGTTTTCAGCTCTACGGACCAGTCAAATCTTAGCCAGGCCTGGTGGCACAGGTTTGTAATCCCAGCTACCTTCGAGATTGATGTAGGAGGATCCCAAATTCAAGGTCAGCCTTGCCAATTTAGTGAGACCCCCCCCACCTGAAAATACAAAGTGGGGGGTGTGGGATACAGCTGGGTGGTAGAGGCTTGCTCAGTATGAGTGAGGACCTAGATTCCATCCCAGTTCTGCAAAAGACAAAAAAAGCATAAAGTCTTAGAAAAAAGAAAACGTCCACTTTTCAGTAGAAAACTTTAATCTACAATTTTGCCAATTTCTTTTTTAAAAAGATGAAAACAGAAGGATTTCTGTAGTGAATGCTGATCTCTGAGTCCCTGTCACTCCCCTGGGGAGTGTTTCTTATACTCATCAGCATATGGCTGCAAGTCATTAAAACAAATAGATTAAACATCATTGTAAAAAATATGAATAATAATGTATGTATTACAAGGGCCGAGGGCTGCGAAATCTATCCATTATTCAAAAAGTGCTGTTTGGAGGACAGTATCCAACACAGGTACCTTCCGGGGAGAAACTAAGAACTCAGCTTGCATGTTTGATACCTGAGCCTGATAAGCATATGTAGGCTTTCATGTACTTCCTGTTGTCAAATAATGCCATTTAATAAACATAAATAAACACTTTTCCATGCCACTTAGCAATGTGAATAACTGTAAAGTAGATGAATTGTGCCAGGTAAATAAAGTGTTGTCCTGTCTGATAGAATATTGGAACTTATTCCACATATATATATATATATATATGCCTTTTCTCTTTCCTCCTTCCCCTCTTCTTTG